GCGTTGTTGCTGTGTCCCCCCCGCACCCCGCCCCAAAGTATATGTCAGGCTTTCTGGATTGCAGGCTCTTGCTGTTGATGCTGGGTAGATTCTTGCCTGTAAAACTAAATATTTATATTTCACGCAGACTGGGTTTGTGGATAGTAGAAAGAGCTGCATCTATGACCAGAGAGCATAGTAAGGGTGAGCCAGGATAGATGTAGTGAGGAGTGACTGCGGTATAGCTGCCTGCTGTAGGACATTGCGTTGTCTGTACTTAATTCTGATTTCACTTTACCAAATTATTTTTCTTGAAAGTTGTCCTTACGCTGTCCATCAAACAAATTAAAATGATTTCACCGTCTGTCAGACAGTACTAGATTTCCAAAAGAAAACTCACTGAGGGCCCCAGAAAGATCTGTCAAGCGGCAAGGAGAATGAATTTCAAGGAGCAGTTTCTTTTTAAAGGACGTTAATCCCAACAGCGTATCTAGGACTAATGCTATATGTTCCTCACAGTACAGGCCCACAACAGCATGTTTTATTCCTCAGGGTAGGAAGCTACTTTCCATCTGGACTTTCTGGTTTGTAATCCTGATTTGCAGTGCAGTTTGAGACTCGGTAATGGGGCTGATCAGATTAGAGTCTCATATGGAATGTGGTGGGGATCAGTGGTGCAGAATAGCAGCTTTGTCCGCCCAGTGCTCAGTAAAGCTGGTGTCCTTTCTGAAACCCCTGCACTGAACCCCTGTGCCTGCAGCTTGCTGCACTCTCAAAGAACAGGGAAGCATCCTTAGCAGGTGGCTCTCTAAAAAAAGCGTTCCTTTAGCGTGCTGGGAGCGGGGGAGGCAGAGCCTTGCTCTTGGCTGCACGCCTACTTGTAGACGTGAGCCCCATTCTGGATACGTCGTCTTCAGCTGAAGCAGAGCACTTGGATCCTGTGGTCAGGGTTTCTACATTATGCAGAACAAAAAAAGAGGTATTCATTACTGTTGATTATATATGTGACCGCCCACAAGTTTCAGCCTCTCTAAACTTTTTGCATCTGGAATCCATCCAGTAACTGCTGTCCAGTTCTGTGCAAAATATCTCCTCTGGTTTGCTGTTGCACAGAGGAGGAAACTGCTCTCTTCCTTTTGGGGGGGCCTTCCCCCCTTGCACCACAGCATTGCTTCTCCTGATGCAAACAGGAGAGAGAGGAGTGGAAAATGACCTTGTTTGTCTTGTGACATCAGTGCTGCTCATGACTAATGCTGGATCTGCCCCACGTCTTCTGGAAGTCAGGCGAAAATGTGGACTTTAGAGCAGGGCTGAGAAGGCTTGCGAGCAAAAGCAGAACAGCCGTTAGAATTCAGAGTTTCGTTTCTGAGGGGAGATCTAGTCTTGGTTCGTGTTCGCAGCTGGATAAACCCTTTTGGGTATGCCAGGGAATGTGCTGGGAAGAACATTCTCCTTCAGGCAAGGTTTTGAGCTTTTGCAGGCTCTTGCAATAAGAGGGAAGCTCAGTTCAGGCCATAATCGTGATTCATGTTGTAAAATGTTTCAACGACTGGCGATAAGATAAAAATGCAATTGGTGGATTGCTGCTCCCTCCCTACATTCCCTGTGCATTAGTGTGCTTAGGGGGTGACTTGTCTTGCTCCTTAGTGCTGAGTCTCTGCAAAGCAGAAATTAACGGAAAGTTTATATTACATTTAACTTTTCCAGATGAGAAGCTTAAAATGACTTATGTGCCTAAATCGCTTTCCCGTGCAATACTTGCTTGCAGAGTAGGTTCTGCAGTCTACATATGAAAGCCTGTAGGAGGAGCGTACGAACAGGGGCATATTGTTGCAGAAGCAGCTATGCATTCTTAGTTTGCACAGCTGCCTGTCTTGGCATGTGCCTGAGTGGCTCAGTTTGCACAAAGATGCTCTGGACTGTGGTGATGTCTCTAGGTGGAATTCAAGACTCCCAAGAGTTGCCTGTGGATGTATTTCAAGAATCAAAACCACCAGTTCTAACATGAAGCGCGGTGAAATCCTTCTAGTGAAGCAGTTTTGTTTGACTTGCTATATGGTCGTAATTGGGACTTTGGCCAGTAATTAACTGCAGTAAGATTCTCTGCAGGCTTTTGCTTTATTGAGTGGTGTCAATATAAGGTTAGAAGACGAACTGTGTTAATATCCTAATAAGTACCTACAGCAGCGTAGAAACTATATGGCCATTATGGATTGACTGTGGCCCTAGAAAGTGGCCGTGTGCATGGCTACTGCATAATCAGAACGCCTCTGCTAATGTGAGGCTACCCTGTCATCCATCATTGGGGTGCAGACCTAGGCAGAAATGCTTCTCCTGGAACTGGCAGAGCTTGTACCAGACAGCTGATAAGCCCTCTTGAATATTTGGCATATGGTTTTCATACTGTCAGAGGATGCGAATAATAGTAGTCCGTCTGTGCAGGTTGTGAACAGTGGTAGATATGGAAAGACTGGTTGAACGGTTGGAGAAGGCTGTGGAGCGCCTGGAGGTGGTGTGCCAAGGACCTGGCATGTGTGGAGATGATACTTCCAAAGGTAAGGCCCCAGCTGCAACTCCCCTCACCAGCAGGGTCACCCACAGCAGTCCCTGGGCCGAAGCGTCAGCCGGGCAGTATTGCGATGTCAGACAACAGCAGTACCTGTTGCAGAGCAGCCGGTGCTCATGCAGTACGTGCAAAGAGCTGTTATGTGAACTGGCTGTATGCAGCGGGGAAATGAGTTGCACAGCAGATACTGCGCAAATGCAAGGAGGCCTGTGGTTACCATCCTGCTAAGAAAGGAACTTCCTGTGGCTGCAGCACTTCCCTTGTCTGCGTTTAGCTGTGTGCTTCAGGACGAGCCTTGTGCGTTCCATTGATGTGACCGTGGGAGACAGTTCAATGAGAAGTGGGTGGGCGGTGTAGCCCAGGAGCACAGTGTGCCTGAGTGCTTCCAGCTTAGGATCCCACCGGCAGCAATACCCATGCTGTGGTTCCTTCTCTGCAGGAGTGGCGCAGTATGTGCAGGCTTTCGATGCTCTTCTAGCTGGCCCTGTAGCTGAATACATCAAGATCAGCAAAGAAGTTGGTGGGGATGTGCAGAAGCATGTAAGGATTCACTTTCTTCTCCCTCTGCTCTAAATAGATACTGCTTATCCTTCAGGAGATTTAAAGGCCAAGTGTGCTGTCAGTGTTTGTAGTCCTTTAGCACTTTTTTCTAGGATGTTAATAATCCCTTGGCATTCAAGACAGATGCAGATGCCCAGATTACCTCTAGTAGATTGCCACGTACATATGCTATGCGTCTAGCCCCTTTGAAGCAGTTAGGCGCCTAGCTCTCTTTACAGACTTTGGCGCATGCCTTTAGGAGACATGTAAACTATCCAATCACAGAGCTGTTAAGTTCTTGTTGGTTTTCCCTGAGGATAGCTGTCTCCAAGAATATGCACAGCTATCAGAAGGAGAAACTGATTACACATGTCGGCTTGCCCGCCTTCACAACCATAAGCAAGTCAGAAGGATGATGTTGCCTAGACTAGCAGCATGTTCTCTTTGTGTGGAGTTAATTATAGCAGCCCTTTGGACAGCTAGGTAGCTAATATATAATGGTACATTTCCCAGCGTTTCAGATCAGTGTAACTGCTTTCTTACAGACTAGGAACTGGGGGCAGTGGGAGCTTAAATGACTCCATTAGCGTAATTGCACTGGGTACCTGTGATGAAGCAAGGGAAGATCTCTCACGTTTCTCTTTATGCTCAGGCTGAGATGGTTCACGCAGGCTTGATGAGCGAGCGGTCTCTTTTGGTGATAGCATCTCAACATCAGCAGCCGACAGAGGTAAGCCTGGAAAATCACTCACTGGAAACAATGTATGCTCTTATTTCAGAGCGGGGGATAACTGCAAATGTAGGGGAATCTGGGCCATTATAGTTGCTTCAAAGGAGGAACCAGACTAGGCCTGGAGACCCGCACTTGCTGAAAGTGTGGCCTGTGCTGGGTGCTCATCCAACTCCTATGCAGAATTCCAGAAGTTGATGCTTAGAGCTGCAGAACCAGCATTTTCCAGTAATTGGAGCAGCACGTTTTCTGTAACTGTGAAAGCAGCTTGTGCATATCATCTCACAGTTTGTATCTCAAGTTTCACCTGGCACCAATGCTGCACAATCACTGTTCCCCAAGATGCAAGCCACAGACAAGAACCTGTCTGAGACAGGAGCCACAATGTGATCTCTGTAGAGTGTGCTTTTCATTACGTGATGCTAATACATCTTCAAGCATTAAACAGATTCCTTCTGCAATAGAGTAGACATTTGTCTCCCCTGAATGGTGTCCGAATAATAGCTAGGCTTTTAGGATTGATTTGTCCTTAGTGAGTAATTTAACACTTTTCCTTAGCCTGCCACTTCTCAGCAGGATGCGAGTGACTGAGAATCTGATCCCAAGTGCATTGGCATTTCCCTGCTGAGAAGTGATTTGCCTGAGCAACAGGATCCCACCCTTTTTTTTTGTAGTTATTCTCTGACTCAGTTGTGGCTTCTACTGTTACGCTGTGGTAGCTGGATTTCTGCGCTACTTTGCTTTTCACTGTAAAATATGTCTGTGTCTTTTTCCCCAAACTAGGCACTGGAAGACTGTTTATCTTTAACCAGGCTTGCTAGGATGCTGCTCTGCATAGCCTTCAGCCTGAGAATCTGCTTATAAATTCCACTGACATTATTTAAATAAAGGATTATGAACAGACAACAACCTTAATCCAGTATAGGTCTTTGTGCAGGCTGTCCAGCAAGAGTCTAGTCAGTTCTGAAGTAGCCAGGTTAAAATGCTGAATGCGTGAACTCTCACTGCTTATGTTTGTTGAGGGGTTGGGTGGGGATTTCCCACGTTAGGATGGAGCTTCTCAAAGTGTAGCCTGGACGGTCATTCTAGCTCTCAATGTTTTCATCTAAGTGGAGGAGGAGACAGCAAAAGAAAAAAATCAAGATAAGCAAAGCTTGGTTTTTAAAACCTAACTTTATCCCTCATTCCTGCCATCACCAGGAGAGGGACTTTCTGATCTGAAAGGAAAGGAAAGTGGCCCAAGAAGCATCTCTTGAAATTTGTAATGGGCTGCTCTGACCTCAGAAGACTTCTAAGCACTTGCATTCAGGTTTCCAAGTAGACAACACCCAGGACAATCTTTTTTTGTCATCCAAAAATTAAAAGCTTGGACTGATTTGAGGAGTAATTTGAATCCTGAAGTCCAGACATCATCTCTGTTTTGATGGGGTGAGTTGAGAACTTGCTGGGACTCAGATTATGATGCCAGCTGTAGATCCCAAGCTGCAAAATCCCACATAGCACTTCCTTTCTGTGAGCATTTACAAAGGAGAGGAAAATTTTGAAAAACTGCCTTAGAACTAAAGGATCCAGGAGAGGCAAATGCTATTTCTAGCCTCATTACTAACAAGCTTTGTCAGTGTCTCTTGGATTGTACATGAGTCACAGTTCTTGGCATATTCCCACGGTACCGATCCGGCTGGACTATTACTTCAGCCCTAGAGAAGCTGGACTGTGGGACTGACCTTGACTTGTGCAGGGGGTCAAGTCTAGATGGGAGCTGTACAGGAACTTGTGCCAGTTGGAATCTTTCTCAGAACGACCATCATTTCAGGCAAAACCGCCCATGAAGACGTGCTGCTGTTCTAGAGCGCAGTGCTAACGCTCTTAATTGTTACTGCCTTTATTGTCTTGCAGAGTAAGCTGTCAACACTTCTGAAACCAATTTCAGAGCAAATCCAGGTGGTGCAAAACTTCAGGGAGAAGAACCGTGGTAGCAAACTGTTCAATCACTTATCAGCTGTCAGTGAGAGCATCCCAGCCCTGGGCTGGGTGGCCATGGTAAGAACTGCACTGGAAAGTGGTTTCCTTGGGCCGGCAGGAAAAGCCTGGCTCTCTGGTGCCTCAGCTGCTCTGTGCCAACGTGTTCTTTCTTCTTTAGGCTCCAAAGCCTGGCCCTTATGTGAAGGAAATGACTGATGCTGCCATGTTTTATACCAACCGGATCCTTAAGGAGTACAAGGATGTGTAAGTTCACCTTCTCTCTTAAAGATATAATTGAACCCAGCTAACGGGGTGTGCAGAGCCTACTCCAATCTGTAACCACAGCTGCCTTGATCTTAGCTTTGTTCTTCTTTTTAAAGGTTGGGTATGTTTATAAAGCCTTGCTTAGCTGTTTTTTTTCCTGATTCTTATGGCTAAGATTGCTTGTATTCATATCGCAGCTTGAATCTCTGGTAGCAAATGCATGGCTTTTCCTGTCTTGGCATCACCTGGCGATGGTCTGAACTGCTTCCCAAGGCAGCAAGATGCATCTCAGGAATGGGTCGTTAAAATTACCAGACCCCTCAATTAACCTGGGGTATGGAGCAGGCCTGTGGCCTTCCACCTGCAGGTATAAGATGATTATTGAAGTCGGAACTTAGTGCTGGAGATGTGAGACTGCTGTGCTTGTCCAGCTGAGCCTTGCCTGCAGGCTGAGAGGTGGAAAGACAGAAGGATCTGTTCATAGTCCATAGGTTTTGATGGTAAATGTGCCTTTTCGCTCCTCGTGGTCTCTTTGTATCCTCAGAGATAAAAAGCAAGTGGACTGGGTGAAAGCTTATCTGAGTATCTGGACAGAGCTGCAGGCCTATATCAAAGAGTATCACACCACAGGGCTGACTTGGAGCAAAACAGTAAGTGTTGGCTACGTCTGCAGGAGCCTCTTGGAAAATGAGTGTTGCGTGACTGTTGCAGCAGATGTGGAGCTTGTGCAATCACCTTTCCTCTTGCTGGCCTTTTACAGGGTCCAGTAGCAACAGAAGGGGCTAATGTGCTGTGTGCGCCCCCAGGTGGGGCTGCGCCTCCCCCACCGGGCCCTCCTCCCCCACCTGCTCCTGCCCCCGCGAGCGCCAGCACAGACACCTCTGCCTCTCGCTCAGCGCTGTTCGCCCAGATCAATCGGGGAGAAGACATCACCTCCAGTAGGTGGAAGTAGCTAGCAGAGGGTGGGCTGCCGTGAGCGAGGATGTGCGCGCGAGTACTGTTGTGCTGTGAATCCTGAAAGACTGGCTTTTTTGATTCCTCACTTGTTGCCATCCATGAATACACCCGTGTAGAACGTACGCTGGCAACAACAAAAGATCATCTGCTCTGAGTATGAGGCTAGGAGCCACAAGCAGTCCTGAGACAATTCACAAGGACAAAGGGAGCACATCTGACTTACCATTCTCAGCCTCATCTGTCAGGTGTAGCAAGAGATTAGTGTATAGCTGGGATGAGGAGAGAGGGAGCTCTTCAGTTGCATGCACATCTCAAGTATAGAAGGTGCAATTTTTCATGTATTCATGTCTGAACAAAACTTGCCCTTTTTGTGTGCCACCTGGTTAGCACATCAGGAAGGATGTGAAGCAAAGGTGAGGTGCTTAGCTCAAGACTTTTTCCAACTGCAGAGTGGAACAGCTGGGACCTTCTGGTTCTACAGCACATCTTGTTTTCATTAATATTGAAGTGTTTCTGGCTCCCTCTTTCAATAGCTGTCACTCATGCTTGGGTTCCAGTTAGGGCCAGCCTCAAGAGCTGATTTGTATTCTGAAAAACATTAGCATGCTGATCACTGTAATCACTGATGTCTGGTGTCTGTGAAACTGCATTATGAGGAGGGCTGGAGCTCAGGTTTGGTTTCTTTTGCAGGCCTGAGACATGTTTCAGATGACATGAAGACCCACAAGAATCCAGCACTGAAGAACCAAGGGGGTCCTGTACGAAGCGGACCCAAACCTTTCACTGCTCCCAAACCAGCATGTAGCGGTAATCCCTCCACAAAAACCTCTCCAAAGGAACCTCCATTGCTAGAATTAGAGGGCAAAAAGTGGAGAGTGGTGAGTGCCTGACGTCAGCATGAGCGTGTGGGAGGGATGGGAACCTTACAGCAGGGAAGGAAGAAGGTCCCCTAAACACCTTTGTTGTAAAAGGCATCAGCCGGAAGGAATGTGCAGTTTACTTTTAAAGGGGGTCTGCTGTCCAACTGTTCATAGATTAATTGGTCTCTCCTCCAAGAATAAAGTGCACTTTCCTGGCCTTTTCAGGAAAACCAGGAGAATGCCACTAACCTGGTGATCAGCGACACAGAGTTGAAGCAAGTAGCATATGTTTTCAAGTGCACAAATAGTACACTCCAAGTCAAAGGCAAGATCAACTCTATCACCATCGGTAAGTGGAGCAACCCTCAAAATGCTTCTGCATGCTGATCTGCGTGCAGAAGGCTGAATCTGCAAAACCTTTTCGTGAGCTACTCTATCTTCTCCTTGCAGATAACTGTAAGAAGCTAGGTCTGGTGTTTGATGATGTGGTGGGCATCGTGGAGATCATAAACAGCAGGGACATTAAAGTTCAGGTGAGCGTCTGCAGCTTGCTGGCTGCCTGGGGTGTGAACACTGCACTATACAATGGGACATCTGTAGCGCCTGCTTTCAGTTGCATTCAAGAATGGGAATGTCCATCTGTGGAGAAAGGTCATGAAACCTCTTCTGACCTAAGGCTCTTCAGCCTCACCAGCCTAGCCCTTAAAGGCTTGAAATTTGTCTTGCTGAGCTGCTTCAGGGATCTAGATAAAAGATCAGTCTGCGAGGTGGGCAGTGGATCTGACTGCTCAAGTAAGAGGCCAGCAGCAGAATCTTACTCTGATTCCAGCGTTGGTACCTGATACGTGATGGGTGACTTGCCTGGTTTTCACTTTAGTTTTGTTCTGAAGAGACCAAAACAAGAAATAACCCTGGATTTTTGTCAAAGGTGGGAGTATGAGTTCAGTGTGTCGGGGTGGGAAGAGGGGTTTAAAGCCAAACAAACCTCTTGCCTTGAGGGCAACTGCAAAAGACAAATGTTGCGGTTGCCCGATTCAAGAGGATGCTCTTGTAACTGCTACTTTGACCAATCTGCTAGGTAATGGGTAAAGTGCCAACGATTTCCATCAACAAGACAGATGGCTGCCATGTTTATCTGAGCAAGAACTCCCTAGACTGCGAAATCGTCAGTGCCAAGTCATCAGAGATGAACGTCCTTATTCCCACGGAGGGCGGTGACTTTGTAAGTGTTGGTTTTCAAATCAGTGTGGAGGTCTGCCAGAGGTGGAGTAAAGCGGGACAGGATTCCTTGAGAGGCAGGAATTTGTAGTACTACACAGCATTTCAGTCCAAGTGATATCTCTTCCAGTATGTCTTGGAGGGGAAAGGATGTATATAAATAAGGAAGGATCCTTCTGGGTCTGCTATTTGATCTTGATGTTTGAGAAGTGTTAGGCAATGGGATGGCATTTGTTTTCACAAGGAGATCTTGGGGAAAAATCCAACTTTAGGGTCAAGAAAAAAAAATCGGTCTTCCCCCTCCACTGCCTTCCCTTTCTGAAGGGGAATCCTGCTGCTGACTGAGGAGCTGGCTATAAAGACGAGCCCTTGAGAAAAGGTTATGGCAGGGCATATTTTGAGCCCAGCTGGGAGTATCATAGTTACAATGAGGTCTGCAGTGATGATTCTAGACTGGGGACACAGCACATTTTTTTTTTTTTTTAAAAGAAGAAAAAGTGCCTAAAGGAGTGGGAATACTTGCTTGTCTCAGTCATACACAGATTTTTGATGACAGATTTCTATTTTTACTCTCCAGACTGAATGCCCTGTCCCAGAACAGTTCAAGACAGTGTGGAACGGTCAGAAGTTGGTTACCACTGTGACAGAAATCGCTGGCTAAGCAGAAAAGCTCCAAGGCTCATGCCTTCCCCTGGCCCTGCTGTGGGACAAATCTGCTTTCAGATGATTCTCTTAGATTTCCTGTACCTTTCTGCTCTCAAACTGCTTCTCTTCTACCTGAGAGACACAGCTACCTGCCATCACTGAAATACCTCTGGCTGGGATTTGGTGGTGGTGGTGGTGGGTCAGTTATTGTCCACGTCTATTAGCAGGAAGGTTTTTTTTTTTTTCCCTCCCCTTGTCCAATCTAACTGCACCAATTGATCATGTCAGATTTTGAGTGAACTTCACAGCCAGTATTGGCAGTTGGCTTTCAGAGTGTTGTTTGGGTGGTGGTGTGTTTTTTTTTTTTTTTTTAATTGCCTTTAAGCAAACTCTTCATGTGAGAGAAGAAAGCTGTCCCCTTTTTTTGAGTCAACAAATAACAGTGTCTAGGGTCCAGAGTACGCAGTTGCTATGGCAGATGTCTCAAGGATGCCCTGGAAGCTGCTAATTCCAGCTCTGTGTATTAATCACTGGCATTACAGGACATGGGAACAGTTTTGTTGGACCAAAGGCTGAGGACTTGGGCTGTAGCATTCCACCCTGACTTCCCGTTCATCATTCCTACTAGCTCAGTGTATTTCTGATTGTGCCATGACAGGAGGCTTTATATTAACTGGTGCCACAGGAAGACTGCAGTGGAGTGACTGCAGTAACCCTCCCCCAGCAGTCCAGCTGGAAGCTTGAGCTGAGCACCTTTCCATGAGCCCTCCACCCTCTAAAGGGAATCTTTGCCCCAGGGCTTCCTTCTCAGAGCAGCTGAACTCAGGTTCAGTCTTCCAGGACACTTCTCAACCTGTCCCCTTCTGCAGAGGAAGGGTCTCCTTCATTCCAGGGTCAATAGTGCAGTATAGTAAACATCTGAGTTGGAACAAGTTGGTTCATCACTCTTTCTCATTGGTGTTCAGTCACCATAGAGTGAAACTTCTCAATCTCCCCTTTCCCCTGTTGCTTGGCTCTTTACTTTGCGGGAGGCTTGCAGTCTCTGTTCCAGGGCCCTGGAGTAGAGCAATGAAGCTAAGACACAGTACTGTACTGACCTATACAGGGCGCTGCACGTGCTTTGACCTTCATGTTTCCAATGCCTCGGGTGGCATAAGCATATCTTAAAGGCATTTCCTCTGTAAAGTGTCAATGTTCTCTTTCTCTAGGACAAAACTTACAAAAAAATATGCAATTTTTTTATTTTGAGACTGTCCTGTGACTTGTACTTGTCTTCTCCTGAGGCTTGTGGAAAAACCTTTCTTATGTACTTGAGATTATACAGAAGATAGAATAAAGTTAATGCCAACTTGCTCATTATAATGGCTCTTGTTTAGTCTGCACAGAGATGTACAGGACCTCAGATAGGACAAGATGGCCCTTGCTGGATAACTCTGCTGGGATTGCTTTGAAGAGTACTTGCTCCATGCAGCAAAACTGAAGAGGAAGTGTAGACTTTCCCTTAACCCCCCTCACTGACTCAACCTGTCAGTAACTCTCAAATCTCACCCCTTTTTTAGTTGGTTAGAGGTAAAGTTTTTATTCATGTGAATTGCTGTACAAAAGTGCATAAAGTAAGCCTTTAGCCAAAAACTGTTAAAGATGTTAATACCCACTTAATCCAAAACCCTCCCTTTCCCCCTAGAATCACCTAAATTTGGCCCTTTTCCCTGCCTTGAAGTAGAGACTGTAATCTATCTTTCCTCTGCATACAGCTAAGTAAGCTGCATTGCTGAAGGAGATCAGCAAGTAGACTTACATAAACTAGTGATTTTGGTTAATAGTGCCATTGCTTCCTGAGAGGAACAGGTACCATGGGCTGTAAGCGTGACTTAAAACGAACATTTTGAGCAGCTCAGCCATTCTGCCATGATGGAGTGACTGGCACAACTGCAGCCTTACCAGGGCCTGCATAGGATTGGAGTGCTTTAGAGTTAGTTTAATTATGTTCAGAGGAATCTCAGTCTCCTACTGCAGTATAACAGGGGTGCCACCTCTGCATACTGTGGAACTGCTGAGCTAAAGCCCCCCTTCTGCTCCCCCAGATCCCTCACAGGCACAGTAGCAGCTGCATTAGCTACAGTGACAGAGCCTCCACAGTACTCTCACGTGATGCCTCCTCCTAGGTTCACTGGAGGAAGGGGAGGATAGTGGTGTAAAACCACTCTTCTGAGAAGTGCAGGTGATCCCCTTTTACCCCCAGGAACACCAACTTTCCTGCTTTGTCCATTTGCTGCAGCCCCAGGCGATCCTGAAGAGAGAGAACCATTATGATAGCTTCACTGGGCCCTGCCATAGCCAAGCACTGCTAACAGCTGGTGAACCGGGCCCAGGAAGAGCCCCAGTGCTGTTGCAGCAGCAGTGGCTGGCAGGCTGCAGCAGGTTCCACCTCTGCTCTTAGTAAAAGTTTCTCATAGAGCAGAGAAAGCCAGTTTTGGATGGCTCTCATAACAAGGCTTTAGAAAGGAAGAGAGCTCATTATTCAAGGGCTCAAGGGAGTCTGGTTGCAGACCTGAGACCTTTACTGTGATTCCTACTGCCAGGCCAGGCCTACAGGGAAATGCCTTCCCAAACGGTTACTGGCAAGCAGAGCCCATGCTGCAGGAACAACAGGGCAGTGACAAGAGCAGAGCTGCTGGTTTTAGAGCTCCTGAAGTCCCTGACTTCAGGGCACTACCTTCTTTAGAGTGAAATAGTAGAAACCCCTCAGCACCTAGGAGAACGTACCTCTGTGTACAGCAATGTCTCCTTCAGCGGAATGGTCTCCTTGGCTTGACCACTTTTGTAAAACCCAAACCACTGTCAAAATAAAAACAAGGAAACAGTTACTAAAGGGCCCCCAGGAGAGAAACTGGATTATTCAGATAGATAGTGCACTGTCAGGCTTATGTTTGTTCTCAGCCTGCTCACCAAGTTCAAATTCTGCTATCAAAAGACAAACCAGAAGCGAGCAAGCAAATGAATAACCAGGACACTGGCCAAAGGCAGCACCCATCCCACCTGCCTCACCTCAGAGATTGGAGGGTCGACCATGGTATCATTGAGAAATTTCACCATCACAAACTTTTTCAGAGCCATTAGGTTTTTCTTGTATGTCTCATTGATGCCCTGGATGAAAGCGCAGAGAATAGATCTAAGACATTGGGGAGCCCCCCCAAGACAGGGTAAGAAACTGCCTGCTCTCAACTCATTCCATGCCCATGGGGGAAACCCTGGACTGCACTCGCTTTGGAGCCAGCAACACATATTTCTATCATCATCCTCCCTCTGCTGTGCTCATGTCACTCAGCCTCACCTCCAGGCTATAAAGGGGGGGGGGGGCTCTACCCTCCCTCCAGGGGGAAGGAGAGGATTTGGTGATGTGTGGATTGAGCATTGGGTGCACCATTACTTGGATCACTCTGAAGAAGCCTGGTGACACAGAAACTGCTCTGACACAGCACAAGTCTCATTCATAGGTCTATCAGTTAAAACGCTTGATACATTCCCGGGATGCAGGGCACAAATGCTCCCCTTCAAATACTAGCAAAGGTACTGCCAAGGAGAACTACAATGAAGGAACTCACTACTCAGGCTTATGCTCTGCTGCTGGTACTTATTTATCAGTCAGGTCCTTACCCTCTCTTGATTTATGTCAGCCAAAAAGATGCTGTTTTTCCTGTAGTCCTCCTCCTTCAAAGGGTCATGCCAATACTCTGCTTGTACCAAGCTGAAGAAGAGAGAAACCAAAGATCAGATGGGAAACCCAGAGCTTCCCACATGGGCCTGGCCCCATCTTTGCAGCCTGATGAATATACTCACTGCTCCTGAACAGCTTGCGTGTAGGCGCCCAGATCCAGCGTCTTTCGGATCCAGTCACAGATATGGGAGCTCTCACCAGGACAGCGTGGAAAGCCATAGACTCCTGGGGTATGGAGATGTATAACAACTCAGTGAGCCAAACGGAAACCTACTTAATCTCTCCATCCGGTAAAGAACCACCCTCTTACAAAGCAGTGGCAGGAATTATCCAGGGGATCAGGAAGCCTTTAATCCCGCAATCCCATTAGACAGCCCTTCTGCCCCTGGGCATTATTATTCACAAAGATAATGGATGGTGTTCTTGCACTGATCAGCAAGTGATACTGCTATGGAGAACAGGACAAGCAGAAGAGTCTCCAGCTCGCCTAGTCTGTTCCCAGGAGGTTTCAGGATGTTTTCCTACCAGTCTTCCCCACTGCACTACAAATAAATGGATTCAAGCCATGGAACTTCCCAGGAGAGAGTATTTGAAATTCATTGCCAGCCATTCTCCCAGATGCTTAACTGCACAGCTCCTAAATTACATTTCGCCCTGCCTCTTTAACCTACTGTGAGAAGTACCTCCCTTCCCTGGGGGTTTTAGCTTTCCAAGTGCTGATGAAAAAACATCCCTGAGACCCAGGAGGTAGTCAGAAACTTCCTCTCCAGAAACAACTCATCCAAGCTGCTTCCAAGGTGTATAAGAATTCTACCTGGACAAAAAGTCATCTGCTTACAAAGGTCCCTTCTCCCTGCCAGTTAAGCAAGACTAGCCCAGAAAATAATGTACTCAGCTAACTGGGCCAAAGCAGATCACCAGCTTCCAACGGTTTAACTCACAAGAAAGTCATCAATTTCAGGAAGAGGCCAAAATACTCATTCCTCCTGCCAAGGAGAGCCCTCCACCCTTCACCATGGTTAAGGGTTGTGATAGCTTAAGAGCACACTACCTTGGTGCTGCCCCCCAACGGAGATCAGATTGAACATGGGTGGAGAAGGACACCTCTGGGCCACTGCCCTCCTGTGGAGAAAGATAAAGGAGCTGAGTTAGCACAGCCAGGTCACGAACAGTGGTCCACATACAGCTCAGCTCTGCTGCTGCATGAGCTAAGGCATTTGGGAAACCTTTGCAAAGATAATTGAGCCCTCCTGAGGGAGGGGGGCTTCAGGCACTCAGGAAACCGCATCCTCCTTCTGTCTTCTTGCCTCCTTTGGAGCGCTCTTACATCCATGAAGGGGCTTAAGTCTTTGCCAGTTTACATCTGCTTAGTACTTTAAGAAGTTTTAAGTATCATAACCCAAAACCCACCAAAAAAATCGCTGGAAATGTAACAGAAGTGTAAACTTACAAGAACTGGCCTCCTTGGGAGAAGCCAATTGCATTGTAGCCTCCTTTCAGGTGAGGGTCCTTTGCAAGCTGGCTACACACCTCTCTCACTTGATCATTCACATTCATAAAGAAGCTGTTCTCCATATCCTGGTGAATTAGCCAGATTAAAAAGTACGACTTATGCCTTTACAATGGCTTAAGTTATTTCAAGCTCTACAAACAGAACACTAACAGCTCCGCTTTTGAAAGAGGACCTTAACTTTCATAACATAGCAGAGGTGAAATTCAAGTTTTGAGACTTCCCTTTATCATTCTTCCTGTTCTGCCTAACAAAACTCTCATACAGAACAGTGACATTTCCCCAGACATCTTAACCATATGAGTGCCTTTAGGATTTTTATTTTAAATACACACATATATATACACACATATAAACTTCACCCATATTTTCAGATCCCAGAAAACAATACACACTGCACATTATCCTGAGAGACTATTTAAAAAAATTCACTGTGGCTACATAGAACAGTCAAAAATACAAAGGTGCAGAAGAAGCTATATCTTTATTCTACTGACAATATATAGCAAGTGAGTGCTGACAAGTCAGAGGAATTGGTATTCACAAAAAGTGGCAGGGACAAAGCTCTACCTTAAAGAGTATGGTAGCTTATCACATGTCTTCATGTTATCTGGAGTGGTTAGAGAGTGCTAATCGGTGGATTTGCATAGCAATCCAATTTGGACTAGGGATTTGCTTTCTTCCCCGTTCTGTTCTGCAGGTATTAGCTAGACTTTATTGGTTTCTACCTGTCAGAGCTTTTTACTTCACAAAGAAGAAAATTAATAGGGACAGCTTATAGCAGTCCTCATGGAACCAAGTCAAGAACGGAGACCACAGTAATTACCGGGCCTTCAGATCTGCACAGCCATCAGCAACCTGCAAAGGCAGCCGTGTGCCAAGCAGAAAGGTTTACCTGGATCAGGTTGTCTCCAATCCTGAGAGAGAGAACATAAATCCCTGGTATTTTCGCCTCAACTATTTTCTTGATGTAGCCCATGCTTTGCGGATTGCAGCAACTGTCTCCTGCGAAGGGGAAGGTCGTTTACCACCGCGACGCCACGGCTTCAAGGACGTCCCCGCCGCCCGAGAGCTGCCCGGGCCGGGGCTCCGCGGACACCCGCGGCCCGA